AAAGCACAGCTTGCGCTATGCATTTGTTAAATTTCAGCTTTCTACGACACCTGCATTTGGGTAAAATCGCGAAAAACAATCCGAATATTTAAACGCCTGGTACAGGAGAACCACTGGTCACGTGACCGCGAGCTTTTGTGACGCAGTAGCTCAAAGGGAGCTTAACGTCGGTTCGTGGTTAAATCGAGCTTTCGCGGCGGCATGGATTTTGGGCGGCTCTGGAGATTCGTTCGGCAACCGGGAGACCGCTTCTGCGGAAGCAAAAAATGACAGGTCACGTGATCGCCAGCTTTGCGCACGTGCGCGACAAAGCACAGCTTGCGCTATGCATCTGTTCAATTTGAGCTTTATGCGACACCTGCGTTTGGGTAAAATCGCAAAAAAACAAACCGAACATTTAAACCGCGTGGTACAGGAGAACCACTGGTCACGAGACCACGAGCTTTTGTGACGAATGAGCTCAAAGCGAGCTTAACGTGGGTGAATGGTTAAATCGAGCTTTCGTGACTGGATGAATTTTGCGCGGCTCTGGAGATTCGTTTGGCAACCGGGAGACCGCTTCTGGGGAAGCAAAAAATGAAAGGTCACGTGATCGCAAGCTTTTCGCAATTGGGCGGTAAAGCACAGCTTGCGATATGCATCTGACGAATTCGAGCTTTCTGCGACAGCTGCATTTGGCTACAATCGCGAAAAACGAAGCGAACATTTAAACGCCTCATACAGGAGAACCACTGGTCACGTGACCGAGAGCTTTTGTGACGTAGGTGCTCAAATGGAGCTTAACGTGCGTGAATTGTTAAATCCAGCTTTCGAGACTGGATGAATTTTGGCCAGTTCCGGAGATTCGTTCGCCAATCCGGAGACGGCACCAGTGGAAGCAACAAATGATAGGTCAAGTCACCGCGAACTTTTCGTACGTGAGCGATAAAGAACAGCTTGTGCTATGTATCTGTTGAATTTGAGCTTTCTGCGACAGCTGCGTTTGGGTAAAATCGCGAAAAGCAATTGGGACATTTAAACGCGTCGTATAGGAGAACCACTGGTCACCTGGCCGCGAGCTTTTGTGATGTAGGAGTCCAAAGGGAGCTTAACATGCGCGAGTGGTTAAATCGTGCTTTCCAGACTGGGTGGATTTCGAACGGTTCTGGAGATTCGTTCGGCAACCGGGAGACCGTTTCTGTGGAAGCAAAAAATGACAGGTCACGTGATCGTGAAGTTTTCGTGCGTCGGCGATAAAGCATAGCTTGCGCTATGCATCTGTTGAATTTGAGCTTTCTACTACAGCTGCATTTGTGTAAAATCGTGAAAAACAAATGGACAGTTAAACGCCTCGTACAGGAGAACCACTGGTCACGTGACCGCGAGCTTTTGTGACGTAGGAGTCCAAAAGGAGCTTACCGTTCGTGGGTGGTTAAATCGATCTTTCGATACAGGATGGATTTCGGTCGGCTCTGGAGATTCGTTCGGCAACCGGGAGACAGTATCTGCGGAAGCAAAAAATGAGTGGTCACGTGATCGCGAATTTTTTGTGCATTGGCGATGAAGCACAGTTTGCGCTACGCATATGTTGAATTTGAGCTTTCTACGACAGCTGCATTTGGGTAAGATCGCGAAAAGCGAACGGGACATTTAAAAGCCTCGTACAGGAGAACCATTGGTCACGTGACCGGGAGCTTTTGTGACGTAGGAGTTCAAAGGGAGCACACGTGATCGGATTTAGCATTCATTGTGGCATCGACAGGTCGCGTGCACGCGATCATCTAAATATTCCAGCATCGCGATTTAATAAATCTACAAACTGTCACCGCCTTCCCGTACCGGACAATGCATTCCATTAATAATGCGCCGTTCATCCGGGTCGACCGATCGACCGAAACTCACAACCGATCTCGCTAACGCAACACCTAAATACCGTACCATCGAGACCAACCCAAGACAAATTAGATAAAAAAAGGAAGAAAAAAGAGAGGAGAAAAAAACAACAAAATTGGAGAGAATAATAGAATAAAGCGCGCTCGACGAAACCACCATTCAATCTCCATCGCTCGAAAAACAACCCTCCTACCATCCATGAACGAGCCTGAACTAAAAACAAAACGGAAAAAGGTAGGAAACAAAAAATAAAAAAAAAAAAAGCGGGATGAGAACGGAGGAAAACGAATCACGCAAAATTTCATACAGGGCGCTGCAATACTCAGGGACGGACCAGCATGGGTAAGAAAACGAAACGTTAATCCGATTTTAATTTTTCTGTATTAACCCTGAACTGCCTGGAAGTATTTCAAATTTTCATACTGCCAGGTCCAAGCCATTTTTCATAGTAATAGAAACTGTGTACTGCACATTGTTGCACGAAGTGTATGAAAGAAACTATTTATTTCTTAGCGAAAATTTTTGATATATATTTTCAGGGTAATATGATAACAAGTTTATTTAACTTTTCTATTCTTTTAGGGTATACTACTTCTTCAAGAATGCACCAATATTGAAATAAAACTGAGTGCAAGGGAAAAGCACAGAAATGCACGTAAACAAGACAGCAAATGTACCGTAGCATAGATAACAAACGAAAACAAATTCATAATTTATACAAAGTGACCTGCCACGATACTTAATGCGTTAATTGTAAATTATATAAATAAACCGATAAAACGAATAAAATGATTCTTGCCACTGTAGAAACGACATTGGACCCAGAAAGTAAAAGTGCCGTAACGCTTATAGGACAGGGGGGCTTAAGGGTGGACGATTTAGAAGTTATTCGTTACCAACTTTCGCGAAATTTAAGGAAAAATTTGGCGTGAAAAATTATATATTACTCGACACTTTCATTTCGGTAGAAATTAATTATCCTTGAAGATTGCAACGTATCTGTATTAAGTATCTGTATTAACACTAGAACTACCGGTCTGTAACGTGTGCCTGAATATAGTGCACCCGATTCATATTAATTAATACGATATAACGAAAATAAAAGAGTATCCATAATTATGACCTCATTTAAACAAAAATCAGTATAATTATTACCCAAAGCAGCTACGTATTTTCAGGAGTCGCGAAAATAAAATATCCAAAACAGGTATAATACTTCTAGCGTTGAAACGCAAGTTCTCGAAACAAAATTCCTTCACACTATAGCGAAGACATTGGAACAAAATTATTTAAAATCTGCTCGCTAAAATCGGCCTACAATTCGTCGTTGCAAATTTCTCCAAGAGTTACAAAATCATCCAATGCACGTGGAACGACTCGCCCATCCCCCTCCTAACCGAATAAAAACATAAAACAATGCGAGAAACTGCTCGGAATGATGGAAAAACTGGAAACCTACAGCTTTGGAACAGCCAGTACACAGGTGGACAGAGGCAAAAGAGAGGAAACCGCAATCGGCGCGGCAACGGTGCCAATGATAAAATCCCTCTCTGACGCAAACTGCAGCGCGATGCAGTTGTTCGGGTGCACCGCTGGCTAAACAGCGACGGCTCTCGTTCGTGAAAGTAACGGGGCCCCGGCCGTTTATATTTTTCAATGCAACCGTACTCTCTCGGCCGGCCGGGTTTATGATTTTGCTTAATTAATGGTCGTCTCCCCCGTGGCCTCCGCCGTGGTCCATCCCTTCGACGGCGCGCACCGTTCTCCCTACCAACGGCAACCCGCTCTTCTGCCCGCGCCACTCGCGCGGACTAACCCCCACCCACGCCAACCGACCAGCAACGGCCCGGTGGCCATTAGCCTGCACGGATTGCGCAATTTCGGGAAATTGCGAAGTAATTCGCGGTTGCGGCCACTCTCGCCCCGGAGGAACATAGAACGAGACTAGAGAGAGAGAGAGAGAGAGAGAGAGAGAGAGAGAGAGAGAGAGAGAGAGAGAGAGAGAGAGAGAGAGAAAGAGAGAGAGAGAAAGAGAGAGAGAGAGAGAGAGAGTTATCGCAGGAAAGGACGGGTGCCGGAGCTTTCGCGGAGTGGGCAGCTTCGGCCCTGCGGTGCGTTTCGCGGCAATCGATTCGCCGAAGAACCGGAAGCGGGACAAAAGGAGACAATTAAAGGCGCGTGTCCGCAAGCTGCGGGCCCCGATTACCCCGCGTAGTCCCGAGTTTGTTGATTCCTTCGAGACAGGAGAGGAGTGGGTGCCAGGAACCTGTTAACCGGGATAGACGGGCCAACTCGTTAACTGTATCACCAGGCGCAATTTTAGCACGTAATAATTAATTGGTTACCGATTAGATTAGGGATTCCTTAACCCGTAGGGTGTAATACACCCTCCGTGTGGGGGTATGGTGATATAGGCTCTCTTTTTAACTTGCTACGGGAATTTTATGGCGAAATTTCGTGCATCTCCCTGCGTAGGAGTAATATGCGTTTTACCGGCAATCCGTTTATGATGATTGTTGATTTACAAATTTTTAATCGAGTCGGAGAAAGCGCGATTAGTTTCTTCTAGGGGTTCAAAGGGGTGAAAAATTTGGGAAAATTAAAACAGGCTTGATTTCTTTAAGTTTCCGGGGCATCAAGCGAATAAAGAGGTTCACCTGTCAGGGAAGAATCTCAGGTTTTGAACTTCGTAACCTTCGACACTGCAGAAATCGTGTGAAAGAGTACTAGTATTAACGTACTATACAGAGTGTATACAGGGTGTCCGAAAATGTTGGGACCAAACCGAGACTGCATGCTACCGAGGTGAAATAGAAAAGTTCGTATAAACTTATATTCGAAAAGGCTTTATTGAAAAGATACGAGTTCAAAGTTTAAAAGAAAAATTCGTCTTACAATTCGTAGTACTAATTCTCAATAAAGATTTTTCCTCTTTTAAAATTTTCAGAAAAAATCAAACATATATTTAAAGACTTGTATCTTTTTAATAAAGCATTTTCGGACGTGAACTTCTCTAATCTATTTGTTCTCAGTAACACGTAGTCCAAGTTTGGTCTCAACCTTGTTGGACATCCTATATGTACTCAGCTAAACAAGAAATAAAATATCTCGTCGGATTGTGTAATAATTTTGCAACAATACGATTAAAATTCTATAACAGTTACATATGCAAAATGTGAATCGAACCGTAATATTGAAAAATGCTCGTATTTCGCACGACATATTGGCTAAATACTTTGTTACAAATATGCTGTTATACGTATCGAATTTTTGCAACGCTTTGAATATGTTTCTTTCTAAAAATTAAGCGATCTCTGTACGTTTTCGAGAAATCGTACGAGATATCGCATAGATGCACTTAATGACCTACCTCGTACGAACTGCATTTAAAAATTCATCCAGCCTCCTAGAAGAAATTCATCCGGCCTTCTGGAAGAAATTCACCGTCCGCCACGGGTGTCACGCAATTTTTTAACAACGAATTACGTGGATACGGTTAGATGTCGGAGGTGTCAAAGCGTAATGCTGTACCAGCGAAACGTAACCAAGGAACACGAGTTAAAAACGAAAGAAGAAAGGGAGAAAACAGGGGGGCAAAAAAGAAAGAGCAATTAACAGGGCCCTGTATAATAATTTCGCAAATCAAAACGATCTCTCCGCCGGCAAACCGCGAAAACAAAAACTTTTCAACACGGCGTTCGACGTGTCAACGATACTTTACAATCTTCACCACCACCATCACCACCACCAATGTTGTCGCGCTTGATTAATAAAGAAAAAAAAGCAAGAAAAATTAATAAAAACCGAGGAAAAGAGAGAAAAATGAAGCGAGAAAAAGTTTTTAAATCGAGAGATGAAATAGATATAGAAAAAGAGAGGAACAGATCAATAATAAATAAAAAATAGCCGCGATCAATGAGAGACTATTTAAAAAAAGAAGAGGGGGAAAAAATAAAAAAAGAAATGGCTACAATACCGATGCTATTCTGAGTACTGAGTTCCCAGTCTTTCATGAGGATTTCTCGGGCAGGTCAGGATGACAGCGACGTGGGTGCACCTATAATGCAGACAGTGAGATCGTACATATAGAATTACAGTTGAACATGTCGGGGAAATCATGCGGTCGTTGAATATTCGCGAACTGCGTTGAGTCGCGGTCGAACGTTCATCAAATTTTAAAAAATAATACAATAATTCCTCGAATTTCGATTGTTTCCACTACCGCGATATTCGTGATGTTTATTTTAAAAATCTATTGTACAGAATCGTGGAAAAAGCTGAAGTTAAATATGATAACCGATATTATTCATTGGAACGAAATCAAAATTTTTCGTTAGCTTGGGTCTACGAATAATAATTATTCCTCTGTTTCTGAACAATTTTCGTTAATTAAATGTTATTCCTCATTAAGTGGAGGTATTATTCCTCTCTTTGTTACAATTGTTTCACCGATACAATGATTTTTTACAATGTTTAATGATTATCAGTTAACAAGGTTTACGATTACTTTTAGACCAAAGTTCGTTGCAAAGTTTTGCTTTCGATCTGACTAATAATTCATGCTATTAAAGTCTATGCTATTTTCACAATTCTGTCAAATGACAGTGGTAATATGGGACCGATATAATTATTTTATATCGAGCTCTATTCATTGTCACTTGGATTTCTTAATTTCTTTAATTTTTACAGATGCTCCAAAATAGAAAAATGAATCTTTAAATTGATAGTATGAAATTCGACGTTTAAAACGTAATTAAATGTGAAAAAGTAACATTTACGAATTATTATATAGCCTATGTCTTTACGAACGTGATAAGAATATTAAACGCAGAAATAGATGAATTATTTCTCAAGTTATTGAAGATACTGAAAGAAGGAAATTGCGATGTTTGAAAGTTTCGAAAAATTCCATTGCAGGGAATTTTAGACCGACGTTACGTATCCTTAATCGACGATCGATTAATTACAGTCATCTAATTTCGAGACATTAGGCAGTTATAAAAATGATAATCGAATTCAGTTGGTCAGGTGCGTTACAAGTTGGAAATGATTATACTCCGCGTTCATCATCATCAGCATTCATGAGAGATCTGGTATATAATTAATCAAAATTGTACTTTATTTACCTTATTAAACGTGTTTTACAACGCGCAGTTAAATGAGCGTAATTGATATACATTTTTTCGCAAACCGAACAAATAAATTTAACTCGATATTTCCTTCATTAAATCCTTCGCAAACAGCTTCTTCGAATTGAAATAATTTCACAGGTAATTATACGTATGTGCCGCGAACAAAACTAGAAATCGATTAATAAATATTCCTTGGAAAATGTGCAAACGTTTTAATTTCGTTTAATAACTTTATATAGAAGATAATAATCAGTGTACGACACGTTATTTATTTGCTAATTAATTATCGATTAATAATTATCTCGATTTCAAAGATGATTTCAAAACTGTTCGACAAACGAAAAAAATAATCGCAAAAAGGAAACGACGCAAGAGATGAAATATAGCAAAGAAAAACTGGGTGTTTTAGTACCAGTTGTACAACCTAACCGCTATTGTGTAACTGTACACATAATTACCACTATCTTCGTACATGTCTCGAATAAATTATAGAAACCACTTTTTCACGAGCTTGCGTTCAGCTGTTACAAAACTAATGAATTTTTATGAAATAACGTATCTATTTTGTATACGTTTGCTAAAGCGTATCACTAAGCGCGTTTAATTCACTGCTGCGTGTGTTCCCTATTTGTAGCCAACACTGTGCACTTTAGCGCGATATTTTTCTATTTCTTTTACCCGTAATTCATCGTGAAAAGCAGGTTTCTCGTGACATAATAATCTACCCGTACCCGTTGTTATTTATTAGTATACGAACTTTTCCACTGCGGGCAATTTTCTTTCTATTCTCTTAGATTTTTGCTCGGTGCGCCCAGAAAGAGTGGAAATTAATATCATTACCAACCGTACTTTTATCCCAGTGGAATAAATCATACGTGTCTTGCCATAAATCTCAAATACTCATAGTTCACCTTTCGAAAAAGTAACCCTACATATATTACGTAAAATCTGCAAACGCAATGGACATCACCTTCATCTAATCCCGAACGCGTCAGTTGCCCCCTATCTTCCCTCTCATCTACGAAAATCGAATAAGATGGTAAAGTAAGCGAACTGATCGGATATATCAGTGGATAGTACTCTTAATACCAGAATAACGCGGTGAAATAACACGAAATACCTGAAGAGCAGCCGGTGCAACGTTCACGGTATCGAGGAATACCATGAACGCGATGAGTTATTACACCCAGGCGGCTCGACACGGCATAATGCAATAATAGCAAGAATAATAACAGTCGGTGCACGCGAACAGGTTATTCCTTGGGCCGGGCAAGAAGGACCGGACGTCCTGACTTTCACACGGCACCACAGTGAAATCGGCTCGCGATCCGCCCGTCAGCGAGCGGCCGACGCCGCGGTTACGCTCGCGAGCATCTTCGGAAAGCGTGGAGACGAGGATCGACGAGTTACACGCATCGGGAACGATACCGACGCTTTTCCATATCGGAACCGAGGATTATGCAACGCGACCGCCTTGAATAGCGGCGAGTCACCGAGAGAGGAATCCGTCGTGCACGGTGCCACTCTGCGCAGATGGGACCAAGTTTCTCGGTAGGGACATGGGTTTGATTGGTCTTGATGGCGTAATGAATTGCGAAGATAGGGTACGTGGATTTTTGTCGTTAGCAACGCGGGGTACGTAGAGATTCAAGCTAGATGGGATGATGGAGAGCAATGGACGCAGGATCAGTGTTGCAAACACTGCCGAAAAATAAGATTCTTTTGTGTAGCTACGATTGTTTTACTGGTAATTCGGAATTCACGATGAGCTTCGAAGTTGGCATTTTGCAAGTACCTAAGGTGAAGCTAGACACGATGAATTTTACCCTAGTTCTGTAAAGTGCAATATGCACTTGCGAGATGAAGTCATTTTAGATCTTCGTCAAAATTTCGGGATCCTTAGAAAATTAACTACCAAAGATAAAGACATGGGATAAAGTCGCTCTGATCATTACCATGAACGAAGTGCATCTCAGTTCTATAGAGTGCAATGTGCACTTACATGGTGAATAATTCTTCACCGAAGATTCTCGGATCTTCGTGAAAATTTTGGGATCTTTGGAAAATTAAGTACCAAAGGTGAAGACATGGAATACACTCTCCTTGATCATTGCTATGACTGTAGTTTATCTCACATAGAGAGCTACATTTTGAAGCTTCACTTTAACCCATTCGGTTATTGAGATATTTCAAAAACTATGGTTTCAACCACTATCTTTGAAGGTCGATTTCATCCCTCCGATATGAACAGTGGTATATAAAAATAAATACGTGTTCAATATTTCTTTTCACAACTATCTTTCGCATAAATTTCATCAAAATCGGAGTGTACGGATCGAATATGGTTCCTTGTCAAATTTATAATGCAATGTGCAATATATAGTGAATAATTCTTCGTCAAAGATTCTTGCACCTTCGACAAAATTTCGGGATCCTTAGAAAATTAAGCACCAAAGATAAAGATACGGGATACACTATTAAATTGCTATGAAAATTGGTCAACTTGAGTTGCTCTAGGAATCGGGGATCGTTGTGGACCCTAACGCGGTAAATCTCGTGGACCCTGATGGGTTTTGGTTCGACTGGGTTAGGATGCAACGATTTCGAACGCGTGGATCTATCTCTGTACCTTCCTTTTTGGAATTTTGAAATTTCCGGCTCGTATCGCGAATAGAGATTTGTTTAGTTCCGGGCTAGCTTCGGATTAGATCTGGGTTGTGCTGCGTTGCATCCAAGTGCAACTTTGGAATAATTTGAAACTGCTTTTAGTTCTCGGAGTTTTTGGTCGAAGAGAGTTTAGGTTTGTTTTGCGAACGTGAATTAGCTTGTTTCGATGTTGACTTCGATGTGAAATCGCCGCAAGTGTTACTCCACGTTACGATACAATAAAATTAAATTGGCTTATCTTTAGACCATAAATCATACATTACATCGAGTTCTTCTTAATTTCTAAACAAACCTAACTATTATTCCACGAAAATAAAGCTGAATAAAGCCTCAAGCCCAAAGAAATTCATTGAAAATGTTAACAAACTCCTAGAAGGCAAACACGCATCTGCCAATTTTTCTGAAAGTGTCATAAACGGTAAAACATTTTAACTCCTTGCACTCGAGAAGTGAATTTCAGTCACTATTACATTAAATTTGATATATTAATTAATATCGATCTTCCAAATTTGTTCCAATGTGCGAGGTATCGAAATCAAATAATTCTACAATTCTATTATTACACAATTCCTTATTTACTGCTCAAAAAGGTATCGTCAGTTTTTAAATAGAGAATATTTGAAAATCTATTCTTCCCTAGCCAAAAAATCGTCGAGTGCAAAGAGTTAATATTCATATACGACATATCAAAAGCTATATCAACTCGAAATTCTTATTATTAAATTTAATTTAATATTAAGAAAATTTTAAATAAATGTCACCGAACAATGTTTATTAAACCCTCTCAAAGACCAAATACCACCTTCAATAATAATAATAATAATAATAACAATAATAATACTACCAGCTCCAGTTCCAAAAAAGAAAATAAAAAATTTTATTATCCCATCGACAAATCACAGCCTCGTTATTATCAATCCATGTCAAGGTCCAAGCTCCTAATTCCACCCCATCATCCTACCTTCCAATTTTAATAATTCACTCGTTATTCGCGAGCTATTTATAAAACGCTGTATATTTTTCCAAAAGTCACGTACCAAACTAGCTAAACAAATCATTAATTCCGAGATAAAATGTAACAAGCCGATACGTTGATTTCCAAGCGGGGTGGGGGTGGCTAATCCCGATTACGCAAGCCAGATCGGCTCGTCGCGATTTTCGTGGCCGTTTTATTCCGACACAACGAAACCACCAGCGGATACAAAGTTGTCTCTGAACGAAACGAAACGAGCTGGACTCGAAGTGATTTTCGGGGCTC